CAAATTGTTGCGCTTGGGACGGTGTTTATGTCATATATCAGATATTAAAGAAATCAGATATGAAGGTGTGGACTGGAATCATCAGGTTCAGGCCTGGAACTAGTGGTGGACTCTTGTGAACACAGTAATGAACCATCAGATTGTATATAAAAGGTAAATTTCTTGACTAACCAAATGACTATAGCTTTCTCAGGAAAGATCTCCACAGGGTTGATAGCCACATGTTTTTTGGGGAATAAATGAAATTTACTTTCTTTCACCATCATGATATCTAACACCTTCCACATTTTACTTGTCTTTCACATCTTAAATATTATACTGTCATTGAAAATCAAATTCAAATATAAATGCAGGAGCCCTAACGTAGTTATAAACTCATATGTTCAGGCGTAATTTCAGTACGTAATATTAAACTGTTATATAGAACAAATGAAAAAGAAATGTTGAATTTTAGAAGTTTTCTGTATTCAAAGCATCAAGGAGAAAGAGAATCCAATAGCACACAATGAGGACTTGGTTCTCAAAGTTTTGTAATGAAGACAAATTTAAATGTGTCTTGCCTCTTGCAGGTCTATGCTCATTGAAATGGTAATTCAGTTCCTGCCACGCTCAATCTATTGCTTTTTGAGTCACACACACTTACCAGCCCCCAAATTCTGGCTTTCAACTTTTCCAGACTGGTCATATCTTTTAAACCTGTGTAGTTTTTCACATAATCTGAAAAGTAAAAATCCATTGGGGTTAGATTTCATGTTCTTGCTTCAGTGACTATGACGAGCATGTTCTTCTGGTGGTAATGTCACATAGTTTGGTAGAATTCCAGTTATATTTCAGAGGAAGATACTGTCTTCACTTTCAGGGATGAGGAATAAGCCAAGCAAGAAACCAGCAAGCCTACTTCTATGTACCATTACAACTCTGTAAACCATACTTTTCAGTGGGATTAGATTGGGAGAGTGAAGTGGCCAAGAAATCAGTCCTAGTCTCCAAATCCATCTATCTGTTCAACCTTTCATGAATAATGCAACCTAAATGTGGGGGTTCACCACCTAACTGTTGGAAAATGTGGTCAAGATCTTTGATTTGAGGCATAACATAGCTCCCTAGTATATCAAAGATTCCATTATTTGTTATGGTTAGTATTACTGGTCCATCATCTAGTATTCTAAAAACTAGAAAACAACGTTTTGGAAACTGGATCTGTTTCCATCCTCAGGTGAGGGGAAAATTCTGAGTGTTATATACCATTGTCAGAACCCTTCAGAATCTAATTATTATGGTTAGTTCTTTGAAAAGTGAAAGACTAGGTACTAAACCTTCAGCACAAAAACTGTGGGTTTCTTCTGCATTGGCATTTCTATGGAATTCACTGTACTTGGCACTCATACCTGATATGTAGATAATGGGAAGTGAACTTCATCAAGAACCTGCAAGAGAAAAGAAGCATTGTTCCTGTTTCTTAGTTGTTAACATATCATAAAGCTTGCTGCTACAGATATTCTACATGTTAAAACCTCTTCCAATCCTAACCATACATTCTATGTTGTATGGAATGCATAGGATGCTAGGATGTCTAGGATGCCAAGATATTTATTGGGCAGTGAGTTTGGAAGGTGTTTAATATCACACCATCTTCATGACTTCAAGGCATATTTTACACAGGCAAGAACAGTCACTTCAAAGCAACAAAGCACTTTTGTTCATGTGCTCCATTTCATACACCAACTTGTATACCTACAAAAATGCATGTATGAATAGAATACATGCCCACATAATTTCTCTAAGGATCTATACAATACTCATAGCAACACAGTCCAGAAACATTCCACAAGAATATCATATACCACCACCCACTTGGGGTTACAGATAATAGTGATCGCACTGATGAATAATTTATGTCAATTAGCCCCATATGTTAAGGCATATTCAAAGATTTCACTGAAGGTTGTTGTCAAAAATGTAGGGTGTAAAAGGAAATGTACCAGACATATACAGAATTTGTTTTCCTTCAACAGTCACACTGACTTACAAAACAAGACAATGATAAATGTAGGCTCTGTGAAGCAGCACCAGCAAGAAAGAAACTATGTCTCAGTAAGAGAGCTGTAGTACTTTGAAGCATCCAATGAATCAAACAACCTCACAGAGAGCACTTGAAGTACACAGAAATGTCAATCTTATTGTCTATCCATCTCACAAAACTGCATCATAATGTGTATCAAAAATGTTTTCCATTTCAAGATAAAAAAGCTTGGCACAGCTTCTCACATATATAACTAAAACCATTGCGAAGTTCCTGCTTCATGTTCAGAATTCAGAACCACTGTAATGGAGCAACGAGGGTGTTGATGTTATAAAAATAAATTCCTTATACAGAACGAGGACAGCCAGTGGTGTGCACAGTATGAAGCAGCATACATTAACATACATATACACCATACCACTTCATAATCAACACACAGATCATGGTTTTCATGGAAAAACTCATCTATTCAATAAAATTCATTGTAGAAAATTATATCAATTTTGTGACCCTAATATTAAGCCCAAAAGAAAGATATCTCAATTAAAAGTAAAAATAAAACCAAATTATAATAAACATGGCTAAAAAAAACAGAATGAGAAAGCTACAGTAAGTTAAACTAAAATGCGGTGACACATGAAAATCATCGAAACATGTAACTTTCTAGTTACATTTTTCTTTAACTGAGGTATTTTATAACCTGCCTGCACCAAAATATTACCACTTGCCTGTTCCAAAATAATTTAACATTGAATATACTACACCACACAGAATATCATAGCACACTTAGTCAGCTATCAGTTATCTCTTCCCAAATGTGTGATCTATCTTGACTGCCACCAAATCTTCACATCATACTGAGTCAAATTATTTCATACTTCTGCCTCCAAACACAGAAATAGCCAGTTCTCTATCTTGCAGAATATGATATTTTTAACCCCTTTTGGTCCATTTAACATCAGATGCCTACTTGGGGCTCTGAACAAGAATATGAACAGCTCCCATCATCTCTTGAATACATAGTGATACTAACTCCAAATCCTACCACTCTACCATCAATTATGTCATTACAGGCCACTAAAAATTTGAAAACATTATACTGCCTGAATGCACAACAGGGCCAATGGAGGGAAAGTAACAGTAGTGGGCCCAGTATGCCTGTCAATTGGAAAGGGTTCAAATATTGGTGCCATATATTTTTACACATACAACTGCAACAGGAGTGTCCCATGGGTGGAAGAATGTTTGAAAACAAGTGAAGAAAGAAATGTCTTTTTAGAACAGTAATCTCATGCTCTTATATTAAGTATTTCAGTATAAACTAAGTGGGAGAGATAAGCAACATGGCTTATAATATCACATACAGCTAAAGGACTGAAACTTGGATAAACCCTACAACTTTTAAACCATCCATGATGAAACAAAAGCTCCTGCATAACATTATTTATTTCCATGAAGTACTGGAAGTGTTCTCCCAGTTACTCTCTTATACTCTAGGAAAACTGCCTCAACAAGTGCTTTCCTGCTGTAAAAATAAAAAAAGCAATAATGCATACTGGACTAAGCTGAATAAATTCCTGACTGAATTAAAACTAGATTGGAAAGGGTGTGCTCCATAATGTAGTATAAAAATTACCAGCAGCATTCTTTGATGTTTAAGCTTATTTAAAAATGGGAACAGTGAAATGAAATATAACAGTGATAGACTCCCATACTAAATTCAGACAAAATCTGTGGAAGGGTTTACAGGATACGTGGAAAATTCCACCCAGTACCTTATGAAAACTAAATTTTATTATGAATCAATAAGACTGTAAACTGTAACTGCCTGGCAACTTTTGGTGGAGGTCTTCCATATTGTATTTCAATAAAATCTGTGAAACAGTTCGTGTCATACATGAAGAAGAAGTCCTTATGCAAACTACGCTTCATTACTGATCAATTTAACTATAAACTGGAATTATCACACAACTTTTTCTAAAGTCACCTGTACTTAATTTAAATAAACCCTGCTTAAGAGTGTCTGTGATATGTAGAAAAAGTCTGTTTATGACCTTATTCAAATCAGATTTTGTTATGGATCAGTACGGCTGAAAACAGATTTGCCCAACAACTTTTAGTGAAAGTCTCCCATCTGTACAATGGTCTATACCAGAGGTTCCCAAACTTTTTGGTATGATGCCCCCTCTCCCAGTTTCTTTTATTGAAATAAATGTGATACTCTGCACTCAAATTTATACTTTTCCTTATGATCAACTAATTCATAATTAGTACCATACCAAAAAGGTAAAGTTTTCCTTGTGCTTAACTAATTAAGCACTATGCCATGAAGGTATATGGGGGAGTGGATGTACAGATCTTCGTTTTCTTGACATCGCACTAGCTGGAGGTGAGTGGTCAGCTTCATGACTCTGCTGCTTTAGCCCTGGGGAAAATGTCCTGGCACCCATTGGATAGGAGGTCGGGTGGACCCCAGAGCCAGTCTGAATCACACAGAGAAGAGAAAATTCTTGACCCTACAGGGACTCAGACTGAGACCCCTCAGTCATCCAGCCCATAGCTAGTTGCTATACCGACTATTCTGTGCCAGCTCCTGTACCATAATACCAAACTCTTAGTAAAAAAAAACTTGGAATTTTTAAAATTAAAATGCAGCATGGTGCTCTTTATTTGGAGATGAAAAATGATGACAAATGTTGAAACCTTATTGCTCTAACATCGTCTACATCTTGATTAAGAGTTCTGAAGGGGCCAGGATAGTGTAGTTGGTATAGTGACTGGCTATGGACTGGACGACTGAGGGATTGGAGTTCAAGTCCCAGTAGGATCAAGGATTTTCTCTTCATCCTGTCACCCAGAGCAGCCCTGGGGTTCACCCAACCTCCTATACAATGGGTACCAGGGGATCTTTCCCTGGGGGTAAAGAGACCAGGCATGAAGCTGATCACTCACCTCCAGCTAGTGCCATGGTGAAGAAAATGTGGATCTATATATCTACTCCCCCATGGTGTAATGCTTAATTAGTTAAGCACAGGGATAACTGTACCTTCAAGAATTCTGACAGGTGCCTAAGGAAAAGACGATTAAAGGCAACCAAAATCAAGCATTTCAGCTGAATATGACATTCAAAATAATTTTTTCTCACAGTCTCACACTCCCCTCTGCAGCTTGGGAACCTCTGGTCTATGCACTGCTACTAGGACACACACAAACAAACATGACCTCCACATAAGGCATCTTTTTCTACTTTGTAAAGAATGACTAATAAGCACAGATTGTCCTGAAATTGTAAACCTACATTTCTAGTGCATATGACAGATCAAACATAGGTACCAGTTCTATTATATGCCATTTGCAATGTACTGAAACCTTTTCAGTGTCCACATAATATGTCACCACATGCAAGTATTGCAAAATCTGACTGCCAAATCTATGCCTCGTTGGAAATTAATTTCAACTTTCATATATACAAAATAAATGAGTAAGACGCTCAGTCGTATACTTTACATTGCATCATGACATTACAACAGTATTGAAATCACTGTGTTCAATAATCTTGGTAAGTTAAAATGGTACAGTACATCCAATATTATCATTTGCTTACATGAATATGATAAAAGAACATGAAAAGAAAAAAACAAACAATAATTTAACCTATTTTCAAATCAGAAAAGATAGCAAAAACAATAACAGATTTAAAAGAAGCATGTACAGTTTTTTCCAGTAAAAAAGATTTGAAATAGACTTAATATTTCATCCAGTACATTAGTTATAATCATATGAACTGAGATATAACCATATATAATTCCAATTACCTGTGATTCTTGGAAAGAACTTCTTCTTGACAAAAATGGAGAGACAACATACTCATTCCAAGACTCTGAATCTTTCTTGTATCTGCTTACCATAACAAAAAAGCAAAGACAGTAGAACCCTCATTAATATTCCTTGAATTAAGGGTTTCTCTCATCTAAAGTTAAATTTCAACAATCTGTGTCCATTTAAGTTTTTCTCAGTTTGGTGTTCAAATCTTCTGCTCCCAAAATAAAACCCTAAATGGGGGTTTCACTGTACTGAATGCAATTAAGATGTGGTACCAACTAACACATTCCTGAAGGCAGCCCAGGCAAGGAAACTACACCTATTCTTGTCAAATACAGAGTAAAATATAAAGATACACACGACCCATAACACAATAAATAAGTCAATTTTTATATCTTAGGAAACTGTCATTATTTTAAAACAAAACATGGAATGCAAAGCATCAAAATGGGAAATATGGGGATAAGGTGGGATGGACTGTTTGGAGAGGGATGAGGTAAACAATTGGAGGGACAGTATGACCATGTTGGCACTTGGTAATCGCTTAACCACACAAATCTTGAGTTCTATTTGTTTTCCTATCCATGACCTGTACATAGATGTCATTCATGCATACATGGCATACACACAGACTCACTCATGCACCTGAATATGAACCAGAAAGAATACAAACTAGTTAACTACTCAGTCTTATTATATCAATACGGCCGTTAAGCCTAGTTCAACTTGGATGATCTAGTAAGTTAACGATGTGGTTTATTAATGGAGTGAATGAAGAAAGCCGATGTCACTGATTCCATGCGCTTTGTCCAACATCCAAACACAATTCACTGTCGGTAGGTCTGTGCACCTAGCATAGCACTGCTTGGCGTCACATAATCCCCAATCATCAAGCTGTTATTCACTGGGTAATGGGAAGTGTTCCCCAAAACAAGCTGATGGGTTTGCTGAAAAAATAACAATAGTGAAGGATGATGCTGGAGAAGTGAAATTGGATGCATTTTGAAGTATATTACAAATGCAATAAATAGTAGTTATGAGTTAATTATTGTTAATAAATATTTTTTCATTAACCTTCTCATTTTAAATACTTATTTGGAGGCACTGGATTTCAGAATGCGTGAAAATATGTTGATGCTGTGGTCTGAACTTACAGAAGGATAATGACAATGTAGGCTCATAAGAGTTCAATAACAGTTATTTTCTGAAATAACATGTAATTATATACTTATATAAACTGTATATGTCTAACAACTGCTGCTAATATAGTTCATTTATGAAGTGATTTCATTACCATTCAAAATTACAAATGCATCCAAAAAATAACTACAGAACAATATGTACTTTATACTGAAGTGGCTAAGTTATCCCTAACACACAATAATAGTACGTTAACTCTTTTCCTTTGGTATTCATGGCAGGTGTTTAATGTATACTTTGGGCCTTCAGGAATGTGTATTGTCATCTGTTGATGGTTTTTGATTTGAGAAAATATTTCAGCTGCCACTTTCAGAGTTAACTCTTACTGCCCCTACTGGCTAAATTGCTACGTCGGTTTGAAGGCTCGGCCAGTAGTGCAGTCCTCTGTCATCATCCACTGCTTTTGTTGATATTCCAGGCTGTTCGTTGGCGATATGCAAATGGCTCTTTTTCTCAGGGTTGTTAACAGATGATTGGGTGGTGCGGTCTTGGTGTGGAGTTTTCAAATGGGCAGGTTCAGTGAGCAAGGTTGCGCACTATCTCAGAACGAAGCACTATAACTGTAGCGGAGTTTCTGAAGCCAATGTATCATATCTCTTTTACAGACACTTTACTTAACTCTTACCCATATCCCCCTTCACAATCACATATAACACAGGTACAAATAAACGTGCTAAAACAATTGGAAGTACTGATCTTGTCCTTTCATGCCATGGCTGTCGAATCTAACTTCACCCTGTAAAAACTACAGTTCAATTGTCCCTGTACTGGAACCAACTTTCACTTGCCCCAAAGGGGTTCATATCTTTCCCCTGAAGACAGCTACATCTGAATCTACTGTTCTGTTTTTTGGGCTTGGCACAGAGGTCAGATTCCATCGACCAGGTAACTGTTGTTGTATAGTTGCTTATTTTGTGGTCACTGCTTAGCAATGGGTCTACATGCCACAATATTTACATATGTAACCCAAATTTAATCTGCTCTTATTTTCTTCATAATCCTATTTTGATTTTAGGTCTTCCATGTGGTCTCTTTGCTTCAGAAGTTCATACAAAAAATCCTGAACTGAATGGTAGCAAGCATTCCCAAAATTTAATCATCATCATCTACAAAGATTAGGTCTTCGGGCCCACTCCAGTGCCAGGGTTAGTTGAAATGATCCCTCTCTCTTCTTCCTTTTGGGTAGTAGTCAAACAGCTTTCAAGGAATTTGGTCAGTTGGCATTCTTAAATAGTTTTATTGATATTCATTTGTTCATTCATGTAGATTGAATATACTGTCACGTGATTTCAGTGACTACAGACAGTGGTTGGACTGGTAATCGGATTTACTGAACTCTTACAACTCGTAACTACAAGTGAGGATTATGCTCACATCATTCTACAAACTTCACAGATCACTAGGTCTTCTCAGTCTGTTACAGTTTTCACTAGTCATGGCTTCGTAGTTGCTTCCAACAGTGGCCATTATCCTCCCTCTGGATTCCCGAACTGCCCTCTGGCCTCAGCTATCAGCTTCTCACAGCAATAGCTCACAACACCTGAACGCCAGTGGTTATCTAACTAAGTCATTAACTGGCTGACTTATAACATCTCGGCAAGGACCACACAGAAAACATCATTCCTACGTTGTTATTACTAGCATCCAATAGAGCTTCTGTTTGTTTATGGTATTATGTTTTCATCCAATAAATCATCATCAGTACAAGCCAGAAGTTAAATGTCCCACTCAGCTTCAATCCCTCCTACATTTCTTAGCCTCCCTGATGGTGTATTTTAAAGGAAATTTGAAAAAAGTATCTTCTTATTCAGAACATTCTGAATAGGAAATGTAAAGTTGTCCCTAAGCTTAATTAAGAACTATGCCATGAAGACATATGGGGGAGAGGAACCATAGCTCCACCATTCTTGACCTCGGTGCTAGATGGAAGAGTGGTCAGCTTCACACTCCTGCTGCTTTATCCCCAGGGAAAGACCCCTTGGTATCAATTGGATAGGAGGTTGAGTGGGCCCCAGAGTCTGGACACTGTGGAGAAGATAAAAATCTTGCGCTGCCGGGAATCGAACTGGGGCCATCCACATCAAAGCACGTTGCTATACCGACTGACCTGGCCCAACTACCTGAATAGGAGATGTGGCAGACATATTTTTATCCCTACAGCTTTTAATATGGGCTTCATTTACATATTTTAATAGGCTTAACCAGTTTCATAAATACACCACAATCAATCAGAATACTGTGCAACGCTTTTCTCCCATCTGAAACACGCTTCTTTTAAATCAATAAATAGGTGATCTACTGCTCCATTACTTCTCCAGTACTTAAAAATGCAGAACACAGTCTTCAAACTCAGCTTCAAGCAACTGATAAATACAGTTGGCTTTTTTGTTTCATGCTGTTGGCTAACAGCTTTCATGACAGATGCCACATTTATTACAGAAAAATAAATTGCCTTCCAGAGAGAGAAAATGGTTAAGAGCATTTACACCACTGTGGAAAAACGATATATTAGTAATATTTACAAATTAAATCTCTGCACACATAACAGAACCTATTTGGATGGTTGACACAATTAAGCAGCATTCCAGCATGAAACAGTATGCATAAAATCATACAAAACGATTGAACATTTACAAGTCACTAGCAATTATGAAAACCATGAATATAATACATGGGATTCAGTGAGCAAATCTAAATGACTGACAAATGACAAGTAAGTTGTATGAAGAAACCTAGCAAGTATGTACATGTCCTAAACATGGTAAGGAAAGCAGAGGCATGCTGAACCTTAAATAAGCAGAAGAGCAGTGAGCAGCAGACTCCCTTCCCCTCCCCATTATAATCTAAATCCTACATAGTTTAATTTGTGTCATTCAAAAACTGTGGGTGACTGCAAAATTCTGTTTTCAGGTTTGTAATCAGTGTAACAAAATACATATGGGTCACTCAAAAATCATCTGTGTGACAAAAACTAAGGTGGGCAGTTTTACAGCTGCTGTTGTCATAAAGAATATAAAGTACCCATAAATGCCCTTCTAAAAAAATAAACTAATGGTCATAGTGTATTTTAGAGCACAGTCTTGGCACTAATCTGGAGAAAACAGAACCTCAAATTAACCTATTATCAATCATGATTTGAAATGTAGAAAAGTTATGAAGCTGAGCTATAAATGCCACATATAATATTTGACGATACCTATTAAAACAAAGTAAATTTTGTGACGTACTGATTTAACATAGAGTGCAGCTGCCATTATAACAGAGATAATGACAAAACTTTATTCTGTGTAATTTAAAGTCATGCCCAAATGAAATATGTAAACGAATAAAAATTTCAATAACTCATTGCTGTTGCTTAATAAATAAAATGGATTTCTCTCAATAGAAGTGAAATCAAGCTATAAATACAATACAAAATGTGCTGATTTTAATCATAACAGAGTAATTTAAAGCAGCTGACACTTCTAACACCACAGCCCATCATGCATTTCTATTTCAGTTCAGCTGAATTCACTCTGTACTTATCCATCAAGTTTCTTTCTCGTGACTTCATGATAAAGTTTCTGTATAATACCTTATTTCTCTACTACACATATTCAGCTCATGATTATCTCTCTAATTATTAAGTTTAAAAGTTTGAAATATATGGTTCTTGGAACTATTTTAGGTCCAACACAAAAATAAAATTCAATGTAGGACTGTCATTCTGTGAAAGTTAACTCACAGCACCTGAAAAAACTGCTTTCACATTTAAAACCCATACTCTGTATACAGAGTACAAAATGTTCTACCCAAATCCATCCAATGTGATAAAATCCACATATATTTACACTCCATTCTTACCAGCTACCATGTTTATAACAGTCAGTCCATCCAGCCAGCCAGCCAGCCACCCACCCATCCATCTAAGGGCTGCAGAGCCCTTTGTTGGACCTTGACTGCTTTTTCTGTTTTTTTTATCTTTTTACACAGTTGGTATAACTATTTGGACAGGGAATCAGCCCATTGCAAGGCTTCTACCTGCACAAAGGACAGCACAAACACAGAATAAATGCACACAAACATCCATGCCTCAAGTAGGAATCGAACCCACCATCCCAGTGTTTGAGCAGGCGGAGTTCACACCTTAGACTGCACAGCTACTGTGATTGGGAACTATTTATTCACCTTTGTCCAAGTTTAAGTTTGCAAAAAAAGTTACTTATGTGCACACTTACAGGTGAAGTAAAGAGTGTTGGTGAGATTCCCCCTCCTATCAACTGCGCTGCCTGCGTTGAAGTTGCTGTACCAGGACCCACTCTCTGCCGCCCTGTGCTCGTGATGGAGCCAGGGTGTATGTTAGGCTGATTTCCTGTATCATCATGATAACAAGCTTCGGGTGATCCACCACCAAACCCTTCCAAAAACCATGCTGTCACCATGCACAAAAAGCAATCAATTATACAGTCTGCAAGTGTGTCATCCAGAAACCAAAACAACACACTTTTCTTTCACGTACTGATTTGAAGGTTCCAAAACTGCACGCTTGAAAATGCTAATTTAATGGAATACATTTCAAATCCACTGTTAATAGATTCTTTATAGCTTGTGCTGACAACATGATTTATAATTATTTATGTACAACGAAATGTAAAACAAACAGTCTACTGAGCACCGATTCCAGTGCGTAACTGAAGAGAAACAAACACAAAATTCAGAAAACTTCACTACACTCTCACTTTGTTTCACATTTAAATGTCTCAATCTGTCAATATGAAAAGATTCACCATTCATTATTATCACATGTTAACAACTGAAATTGAATACATGATCTTATATAAAATGAATGTGAATTTAGATAATACATTGGAGAGTCAGGAAAGTGTGTCTTAAGAATTCTGTACTTGTTTCTGTGTTCAAAAATTGTGGTCAGAGCTAATAAATTATTATTAAAAACATGTTTGGCACATATTACATTTCCATTCTGAATATACCACTGATCCCAAGTCCATGAGGTATTATCTACATGTAAAAATTATGCACAAATGTGTGAAGTATGACAATTTTAGATTAAAATAACTTTAATTTATCTGTGAATATATATTCAAAGAACTTCTTTTCAAAAATTATGTTACAATGTTATCTAGCTAGAACTAATGTCATGAATGGGTCAATATAATCCCGGAGATTTGGCGCAAATGTGTTGCATGCAAGTCCCACCCTAAGTGATGACAACTCACATGCTTGTCACTGCAGTCTCAATGGTTTGTGTGTACCTGAACAGGCTGACATTGTCATTTAAGTTTCCTCTCACTAGACTGGCATTCAAATTGAAGTTTACATTATTTGTTCATGTTCTTAGTTAGTTAGTTATTTAGAGAGGGTGAGTTTCCCCATGCACTGTGACCAGTTTTTTTATCTATTGTGCTTCCCTCTATGATATTCTACCAGTCTCTATACCCTACCGATAAATGGTGCGTACCATCAGTCCCACCGAGCAAGCGAGTTCGGCCACTTGCTTAGCGGTATCTATAATGCTTCCCCTATCTATCAGAGGCCTTAGAGACTATTGTTGGGCGGGAAACGTCCTGGAATTTGGTTCAGTGATCCCCTTTTGGGATATGAGGTTCTTTTACGTGCCGTAAAGTTATGACATGGGACACACAGCTTAAAGTCCCTCCCGGAGGACTTGTTCCCTGAATTTTTCCGCCCTTAAAAATTCGACGACCTCCGCCGGGTATTTGAACCCGCATACCACGAGTTATGAGGTGGGAATGTTACCTATAGACTACGGAGGCCGCTGTTCATGTTCTTAGTTTTTATCCTAATGCTTTTCTAAATCTACAAACCACGGGGATAAAACTGATGATTACTGTAATTCAGTTCAGGGTTCTTCAAGACTAGAACTACTGTAATGTGCTACAGTAACAACATACAAGGAAAATGCAATTTCAAGTCTGTCAGAAATAACATTTAGCAATGCTGACAATGACTTCACCAATTCCAGCAAAAGTGAAAGCAAAAGTCTACCTTAAATCATGTTTTGTCAGATGAATCACCAACTATGAAAAACACTGATTCTACTGGTACACCTGGGCTGGAATTTTTGGTGGTATAGACTCTATAATCTTCGACAATGACAACTTCTATGAATTGATGGTAAGGGACATATGATTATTCTGTAGTTCTGTCTGGAGCACAAGAGCAATCAATAATCAGCGACTGGAAATATATTACCATAACAGAAATTAAAGTATTTTTGGATCTTCAATTTCACATGGATACAATCAAAACTCCTGATTTCCAGGATTGGAAAACTGATGTGTTGTTCAAAATGGAATGTTTTCTTTGCATGTAAATGTGAATCATTTTCTTTTCATTCTTCAATGCCTCCTTTCCGTAACAATTCCAAAACCCGAAGAATTAATTCGTGATCACTGATCAGTGAAGAAAATGCCTCTATTAGAGCTGTTCCACAGTCTCCATGACAGCAATACCCTAGGAAGTAAACTTCACTGGATAGATAGACTGGTTTACAAACAGTGTATCAAAGGTAAGGTATAAAGGTATAAAGTTGCACATGCTGAGAGAACACAATGGTATGATACTGCGACATGACCCAATGGTTTAACAAGAGATGTCATCTTTGCTAGGCAATGGCACAGCAAATACACTATTATGTCAATGAACAAGAGAGAGGTTGCTAGGCAATGAATAAACACACAACAGAAGAAATGTTAGGGAGGGTGCTTTTTGTGAGATCCATGTCAAAGCTAAAACAAGCATGAACCAGACAAAAAAAAAAATGACAAAATCTTCCCTGCATGCATGCAGGCAGGCTCACATACCTCCACTGTAGTCCTGAGAGTCATAGGAGGTGACAGAAAGGGAACCCAGTGCCTGGGGGTATAACTGGTCCACCTTGTTCCTGGAAGATATAAATCTGGGAATCTGGGCCTCCAGGTTGGGGGAGTCTTCAATCTAAGAGAGTAAAGTATGGTTATGATTCACACAGGACTTGAACCTGTGTACGACGGCCCTGGTGGGGGCCACAGCAGTTGTAAACAACAGACCCATCCCCTCATCAGAGAGGGCAACCCATATCAACAAACCCACAACTGTCTGACAGTAATAAAAATCTAGTCTTGGGTCCCAGATGAGGCCTTGACACCAAGACAGACTGGCCGACTGACCGTCAGTTATAATATAATTTTGAATTTTGACTTTGACAAAGACTCACTCCTCCACTGTCAAAATGGAGGCCTCGTTTCAAAACACATACATGTCTAGGAGTGAATAAAAATCTTGGTCATAGATCTCAAGGAGATTGAACAGCAATATGACTAACCAACTGATCAAGCCAGTTAGTTCAGAGTCAAGAGTTTGGACAATGAGTTAGTTGTCAGACAGTCGTCATCAAGTAAGGACATGAACATGGAATCAGACAAGTATCTATTGTTGGGATCCATTAACAGGCATTGACCACTGAAGACATAGCAAAGTGAGAAGACATAGTGTGTGTTGTAGTAAGAAGTACAGTGCATGAATTAGTACGAGTGTTATAATTACATATAGCTATGATTTATAAGTTTTCAATAAATCCAATTGTCAATCCAATCCCTGTGTCTAGTCATTAACATGTGACAATACTATACTATATCTTGGTCTAGTCTGCCTCAACTGTTCAATCTACATGGTAATGGACATGCCACAAAAGTAGTAATGAAGTTTATGGATGAAAGCTAAACACTGGGCACTCACTCTATGATCTGGCATTACAATTGCTGCATGCTAATACATACAGCACTGGAATATCACACGTTGATTGTAAAGTAACTCCACACAAGCAGCTATGTCAAAAATGTGAAGTGGAGAGTGGAGGAACAAAAGAGGCAGAACTTGAAGATAGTGTGACATGTATGCCGAAAGCCTGAATGGTTTTACCAGGAGAGACATCCACTGTTAGCCAATGGCTCTGTAAACCTATTTCCATGGCAACCGAGTCACGTGACCACCACAACAAATATGAACGCAACAAGAGAGGAACTGTTGGAATCAGTGTTCTCTGTTGGGCCTGTGCAGAGGCTATACAAGAAGAGCCAACTGGGGCTTCAAGTTAGTTCTGAGTCAGAAGGCATGTTAGCCTGTGACAGTGAGCTGCAGTAAGGAGTCAGTGATCAGGAGTTCGGGCCATAAGGAGCTATGATGCAGTCAGTAGCTGGCATGATTGTGAACAAGGAAGCTGAAGAAGCTACAGTGTTTGAAGCCATCACGAAATAATTACTGGTGTAGATGCAGGAGATGTAGAAGACTCAGTGTGTGCCATATTGAATTGTAAAGTGTGTAAATTAGTGATAATGCTGTCAGTTTTTTTGTAGTTACGAGATTTAAGTGTCCATTATATCCAACTGCCAATCAAAAATCCCATCTCTAGTCACTCAATATGTCACAGTATTATGGTTCAGGCAACTAACAAAAGACCAAACAGTGACAAAGTCAAAAGGAATAAAACAAACACATGTCAGATGTTGAGCAGCAAGACTGAATGCTTCATCATTATCCTTGTGAGAGAAAAACAAGTTGGTGCTACAAGAAAATATGAATAAATGCATTTCAATGAGGATGCTAAATACATAGAACTTTCACCACAGATACCCAGGGGAAAAACAGTCAATGTAAAATTCTGACTTTCTGTTGTGGGAACATCCTACATACTAACACGCGGTTTCGCCGGTCTAACAGACAGCACTCACTCCTAGTCAATATCACATTGCCGCACACTGCTACCAACGTGCATATTTATACAGCACTCGCTGTCCAGCCCACCTTTATATTATAGCATGCACTAGCCAATCAGCACTCATAATCGCAACTGCAAGTTTAAGCTCCGCCCAGCAAGCATGGTATAAAAGGTGGAGCCCAAAGCTCGCAATCATCAGTGATCACATTCGGTCATCAGAGTCATCAGCTGTTCACTGCACCAAAGACAGCTGCCGCAACTCTCCTGCAACCGAGCTCTGCTACCAGGCAGCTAACGTAGTTGCCGCAACACTCCAGCAACCTCACTCTGCGACCAGGCAGCTAATGTAGTTGTCGCAACTCTTCAGCAACCATGCCGTAGGCAGCTTTTCCTACAGGCGCACACAGCACCACATTACCAGCCGGACAAACCAGCTGAATGGCCATAAAGACTTGGTCTACTACAAAGGGGAAAATTCTACCAGCGCACTCACGGTGGAACAAACTGCTCTTTTCAGGGCCAGCCAACTTTTGACATTCCACATAGCTTCCCAGCTGTTCTGTACATTCAATTTATACAGTTTAATATATACAGTTGTTACAGATTTAAGTGGTTGTCTTTTAGAACATTGACAATCCCACACTGTTATTTGGTACCCATTTTCTCACACACTACTCCAACAACAAATCCAGGTCACCAAAGACAATAAATTACCTACCAACACACTTCAAAACAAAACTAAAATTAAAAAGAAAATGAAACTGTCAAACCATGCTTTAAAATTCGTAAAGAAAACATTACATTCTATCTATTACTATCCCCAGAGCCCTGGAAATCACAAACTTTGTTTGAAACCAGGCTTAGGAGTTTCACTATTGAAAATGAATATTCTTCACTGTGCCTAAATTTTGCACTGGAAATCTGAGCATAATGTTTATTCTAACACAAGACATAATGGAAAAATAAAATCTAACTTCAACAATGAGCAAGGACTTTCTTTAAGAAGAAAGTCGTCTTCTGGGTTTAGGCGCCGTGTATTCTTCGTTTTGGCCGACGTTTCGGAGGAACGTATCGCCTCCATCTTCAGAGCAGTTGAATGGCTTGGAATGCAGCTACTGCTCTCTGCATTCCAAGCCATTCAACTGCTCTGAAGATGGAGGCAATACGTTCCTCCGAAACGTCGGCCAAAACGAAGAATACACGGCGCCTAAACCCAGAAGACGACTTTCTTCATAGTCATTGCTGTGAAAACCTCAAAACTTACAAGACTTTCTTTAAGCTTACAATATGTATGTCAAGAATGAAAACTAATTCTGTGTTTTTATGCAATAAATAGATATTCTAATCTGTTTTACACTGTGACTAAATTCTGCAGTGACAATTTGAAGGTAATCTTATTTTCTGATGCAAGATAATGCAAACAAATGCACCTTCAACAATAAAGGAGACTTACAAAACCATAATCTCTTTCAAACAAATGAGGTAAGCAAACAGCAATAAGTCAGAATAGATGAAGTACTTGCTCAAAAGTGTCACGTAGCCCAAACATTCCAAATAGGCATGACTGCTTTTCATTACAGCAGAATAATGAATCTTAAGTTTTGTTCCACAGATTTAATTTTTATTTCTAGTTCAAAAGCAAACTTACATTCCACTAAAAAGGACAAAAGCTTTTTGCTGGGATGTAATCATCTAACAACTTTAAGTACATTGTTAGGAACTCAAAATTCATGTAATTATATCCCACATAAGCATATTATTTGCTGATACTTTCCATTTGCTTGACTACAATTAGTTTCACTCAGATGTGAATCAGAAAGAAGGCTGTGCTTAATATTTATGACTAATAATCAAGAGCACACTACAGAAGACCATATAATTCAGTACTATTCTTTGCAACACCTTTTGAGAGTATCTCATACCTTCAACAAGCAACTTTATGGAAGTTAACATGATCTTAGAACTGGTGATTTTGGTTCCCATTGTATATTTGAAACAGAATTTAGTAACTTTCTAATGATGTATGTCAATATCTGATAATGATATATCCTCAAAGATGCTCTAGACACACTATTATTTCAGCAATCTCATACCCTGCGAGAATCTTTACATAGAGGCCCAGAGTAGGAATTTCTTCAGACCCTCCTTGCCTGAAGATGGAAATCAGATCCATTTCAAGAATACTGTCGTTTTATACAAGGTATAACAAAGGATGACGGCATACAAAGTTCAAATAAACAGACGCAAACAATACAGGAATGCTAACCACTAAACTGTGATATTTGGTGATTTATTTTCGCAGAGTTCTCCAAATTTGTTAAAATCTGTTTAGTCACGTTGACTGATTCTTGGTTTAGTTAATCTTCCACTTGCATTGGTTAGATAACATCAAATGATAAGATGGTTATGAAAAACAAACTGGAAAGTTGTGCAAGTAAATGTTTGTTTCTATTCTTGAGGTACTGAGAAAGAGCATGAAACAGCTATCAGGATGGTCAGCTTCCAGGCCAAGAATTGAACTTTTGTGCTCCAGCATGCACTCAGACAGCCTTACAGACTTGCTGAAGATAACTCATGCTCTGCATTCTGTAGCTGATAGTCATATATGAACACCCCTCCTCTAATTCTTGACACAAGATAGTACTCATGATAAACTACCAAAATATAAAGAGGGGAGCATATCTATTTGCCATCACCACTTCTCTTTTTCTTAACAAAATGTTTGCATAAATGGGGAGGGTGCAGCGAAGTTTGCAGGAAGACCTTGCAGAATCTATCACAATATTTACTTTCAGTTTGCTTGGTGGTAACTCATAAAACACTGATGACTGTGATGACAGTTCTCAAAATAACTGGAACATTAATCTTAACATATAAAGTTAGCTCATATGTGTACTTGGTGCCCTGAGATTGCTCATAAGAACACCTTTACTGAATAAATGTGATGCAGGTAAAAACTTGCAAAAATAACAGGTTAATGTGGACCAAAAAACATTATTCAGAATTACTAGATACAGAAAAAGATTGCAGGAGAAGACGTGGAAAACATGGAAGCTCAAAAATTATGGAGGAACAAAGGAAGGAAGATAAAAATGAAAGAGGGAGGTGGTGCTCTTCCAGCGTTACACTATTTAATTTCTGAAAAATGTTGACATTAACTTTTATCATATGACACTTAAATCTTACATATAGGACACACTGTCACACATGGAAGTTGAAAATAATTGTAAATAGTTCTACAACAGTATGAATATGAAGCTGCATGCCCTCTAGAACAAGGCTAATCAATAATCCACACGTTGCAAGATCAACTACTCCTAAACTTCACGAATGCTTTTAACTGTTCTAATAATGACTAGTAGTATTATTCATGCAAGATGTTTCTGATTGGTAATTACCAAAAGAACATATAATTACAGTAATGTATATCTAAACTGCAATGTGTTTTGGACTTTTTCCATTGTCTGGAATTTTAGGTAATAGAGATGGAAAAAGTCCAAAACCCTAGCAATTCTGTCATTCACCGTCGTCAGAACCATTTACAATCTACTTGCAATGTGTCTGTTATGCACATTTACCAATGCAACAGAACATATAAAAGAGAAGATTATAACGATAAATTGTATCTTTTTTTTTTTTTTTTAAGAAATAACTGTATATACATTAAAGGCCTGGGCAATGCCCATCCAGTCCTATGTAGCAGTCTTACAAACATCTTATTCTATCACAGCAGTCACCCCACAATTTGTATCATCTTGAAAAGTTTACTGCTGCCATCTCTGTACAAAATATGGAAAGTGGTGCATCCCTACCTAGAATGAGATCATGGCTGAGTTGCTTACCCAGTCCGATGAGATTTGAAGCAGTCTGTGAAGCATCCATAGCCACTTCTCCTAGGCCATTGACAGATATTCCATTTACCATGTTGACGGCTGCAACAACAAAGTACCATATTCTGTAAGATAACAGCTGGACTACTGCCTAAATTCTCATTTTCCTACAAACTGAGCCGTTCTCTTACACACATGCACAAAGAAAAATTATGCTAAAGTAAAAATTCAAATTATTCAATTTTAAGTCTATTTAGTCAAAAAATATGCATAGTGTATGCTTATATGCATCAACACAGCCTTTCTACATGTAACTAGAGGGGACAATTTTAAAAATGTAGGTAAACACCACCATGGGTTAGTGACTAGACATTATTATTATTATTATTATTATTATTATTATTATTATTATTATTATTATTTATTTCATCCACATAGCTGAAGAGAATTACAATTGGACATGTCAAACATCAACATCACATCAAAAATAACATAAGTAAAAAAAAAAATAACATAACATTCACACAGTGATTCATGAGTACAATACAGCAATACATTTTTAACTTAATTTAAGAATAACAAATACTCCAAAAAAAGACATAAGAATAAATAGTTTAAACGTTTGGATTTCTAATTAGATTTATTGTAACCACAGGTAAATTATAACAGTTTCACAGATTTCCTCACTCTACAAATCACTACATCAAACATTAAAGATGCTATGTCTTCACATGGCGTTGCTGGGTAACAGCTCCCAACAATGGGTATTCCTCTACATCTGTGCTCACGTCACTGCTGACTGGCAACTGTCTCATCAGTAGGGCACTGCTGCTGGCCTTCACCAGCAGTCATTCGTGGCTTCAGTCTCCTTGGAGTCCATGACAATGATTCTTATTCTTATGTATGTTTTGAAATGGGGTCTCCTCTTCGACGAAGGAGTGCTCGGTCTTCTTGTATTGGCGCTATACTCGTATTACACCACAGTTTCAGCAAAAGTACGAGGCTCGTCCTCAAAGTAAGTTTCCCTGGGGCCGTTTACAGAAACAAAACAAAATTTCATGGAAATATTTATTGCAACAGATACAGCAAGTGTTCAGCTATTTTTCAACATAATCGCCACTGGAATTGAGACATTTGTCATACCATGGGACCAACTTTTGAATAGCTGTGTCGTAGAAGTCTGCTGCCTGGGATTGGAACCACTGTGTGACAACCATCTCTGCCTCTCTGTCATTCTCAAAAAGCTGACACTCACCGGATAGGAATTTCTTGAGGTGTAGGAAAAGATCGAAATCACCGGGAGCGAGGTCTGGGCTGTAGGGTTGAAGATTAAACATCTCCCAGCTGAACTCCTGCAGGAGACTTGCTGTCCGTCGAGCCATGTGCGGCCTAGTGTTATCGTGCAGGAAGACAATACCGGCACTAAGCATCCCGCGCCGCTTGTTCTGAATGGCCCGTCACAATTTCTGCAGAGTTTTACAGCATTCACCATCTCACCTCTGGTCAGGAAGTCAACGTGGAGAATGCCCCGTCTGTCTCAGAATACCCTGCACATCACGTTCCATGCTGACGTCTGCTTGAATTTCGTCTTACAGGGAGATCCACTGTGACACCAATGCATTGACTGCTGCTTGGTTTCTGGGGTAATGTGTGCAATCCACGTTTCATCACCTGTGATGATCCGGTCCAGAAAGTAGTCGCCGTCATCATGGTACCGCTGCAGAAATGTCAATGCTGACTCCATGCGCTTTGTTTTGTGTTCTGGTGTCAGCTGCTTCGGCACCCACCTGGCGCACAGTTTCCTGTACAACAGGTGCTCTGTGACAATTTCGTGCAACAAAGAGCAGGAAATCTGCTGGACATGACTGCTGAGTTCCGTAATTGTGACGCGACGATTCTCCATAATGTGTTCCCGCACAAGTTCCACCAGGTCGTCGGTAATGATGGATGGCCACCCACTGCGCTTCTCATCATGCACACTTTGTCGACCTGCTGAAAATTGTCTGCACCATCTGCTTGCTCATGATGTTAGGCCCATAGACCCGGCACAGCTGACGATGAATTTCGATCGGCGCTATGCTCTGTGCATTCAAAAACTTTATCACTGACCACACTTCACAATTGGCGGGAGCTGGAATAAGAGCCTCCATCTTCAACAGCTGCAATGATGCTACTGTGGGAACGCGGGAAATTCCGTTAGTGCATGTGCCATGCTACGTCATTGCTCTATCATGTACGCGCAGTCACTTCATGCAATATAAGGTTTGCTAGCTGTGGGACAAGTGGGAAACTTACTTTGTGGACGTGCTACGTATAACCATGTTGTCACGGCATCAAAATCACTATGGACTCTGTGCAACCTCTGGAACTGCACTATACTGAGTAACAATCATACAAGGTACAGAGGTTTCCTGTCAATGCAAGCTTATGCAACAGGATATATCTTAATTCATGTACCTACTCTAAAACTGCACTGGTCTGGCCTGATTATACAATTTTGGCACTAACCACATAGAAAACACTGCATCACAGTCATTTGCCTGTTTGCTGGCTGTTGCTAGTCACCCCCACTATTCTGGCTTTCAGCCATTCTGTCAGAATACAATAAACTTATAAGGCATGTTACCATACCAGCGTGTGATTCCTGATCCTATTCATGTTACAAATGTTGGGCAATGATACTAAAAAGTTTAAATCAGAGTTAAAGAATTATCTACATGCTCATTCCTTCTACTCTTTACATGAATACTTCAATGTAAATAGAGAATGATGTAAAATTAAGTTATATTAATTTTTAAGCTAAAATTGCCTGTACTTATGTATGTAACTTTTTGACTTGTTCTGTATCCAAAGGTACTAACCTGCTTAGGATTTATAGAATGTAAATAAATTCAATTCAATTCAATAACACAAAACAATGACAGAACTGTCTAGCTACAACTTCTTTACCTGAATTAAAAACAATCATGTTCTATAAATAAAGAGCAGTCACTGAGACTTCAAGAAACTTTGTTCTGTACTGGAAGAACAAGACATACAACAAACAATAGGCCTTCTTAGGATTCCAAAATAGCAACAAACAATAAAAGACCTGCAAGAGCAAAAATAAATGTCACATAAAACAAAATATTAATATGTTTAGCACAGAGGGATGGGCATGGTATCATTACGTTACAAAATGACATCTCAGATTTTAAAAACAGTACTGTCTTTTAAGAGGATAACCATGAGCAGTATATTAACAGAAATATTTACATCTACTGACATAAGCATAAGGCACCTGTAAAGCTGGGGCGTCCTTTATGTATAATTTACTGTTGTAAATGTAATAAAATTCAAGTATAAATTTTAACAAATCACAGAAAATTTTGATTTAAATGGGAAATAAATATATACACACACACACACATAATCTAACACTGTCTAAGAACCAAGTTCTTGAAGAGGCTGGAAAGAAATTATCTCACAAAAGATGAATTTAAAAAGCACAGGCAACTTGCATGTAAAATTCCAGAAATTTGTGAGACAGCTCTCTTATGGACATCATGCATACTACATACTCAAATAAGTCTACGCATCTTGTGGGGTATCTGTTACATTGAATGAATCTTGTAGAATCAGTGTGAACATGCTCACTCCACTTCTGGAATCCAACATTGTCAACCAAAGTTCCATCATTTGACTTTGTGGTCAGAGGGGGCATAGCACTGCAAGTTTCACAGAAGAATACCAACATAATACAAAGAAAAATGTATTATGTACAGGTGCAAAAGGAAGGTGTTCCAATTGGTGCAAAGGTTCAAAAGTAGCAGAACAAGCAGTGCCAACAAAGATCACTTGGGCCATCCAACCACTTCACAAATGGAACCATTGAAAAAGCTAATCCTCTCATTTAACAGAACACACAAACTACTGTCACTTATATAGGTGAGACAATGGACATCAGATGTGGATTTCTTATTTCTTCATCCATCACAACCTTCCGTATCACAAAATTTGTACAAGGTGAGTACCAAAGCAGTTCAAAGATGAGCTAAACTGGGCATGCATAGAAATGTGCATTCAACTTTTGCTAATATTATGAAGGAGAGATATTTCTGTAGTGAGTATCATGGGCAATGAAACATTGGTGTACCATTATGAACTGCTCGGAAATTTTAAAGAACAGAGTGGAAATACACATCATCGCTCAGGATCAAGAAACTTAAAAGCGTGCCTTCTGGAGCAGAGATATATTCATAGTTCTGGGGCATTCCTTGAGCATTATCAGTACTGTATCAAAGCATGGTATTGTGATAAGCTTGAAGAGGACTTTTAAACCACTGTTCACAATGAACACAGCTGAATGCTGTCAAAAGTTGTTTTGCATAATGATAATGCTTGACCTCATATGGCAGCAGCAACTGCCATGATGATTCACAAACTGAAATTTGAGCTTCACCCAGCACATGGTCTACATCTTCCCTCATCTGATTACTATATTTTCAGACCACTCAAAGACGCATTATGTGGACATTGATTTGCAAGCAATTAAGAAGTTAAGGTAGCAATGCATATGTGATACTGCACGGAACTGAAGCTGTTCTATGAAGCAAGCTCATGGACCAGAGAAGCAATGTGAAAACCTAGGAGATTACAGCACAACATGAAGGTATAACTGTGGTTGTTTATCTTTCTTATAATAAATAAACTGGCCTTAGTACTCGTAATTCACCTTATAAAGCAACTTCTTTTAAAAATTCAACACTAAGGAAAACATTTTTGGTTTATTTTAGCTGATGATAAAAGTACTGATATAAAGAAATGAATATGTATTTCATAAATTCTCTACAAAACACATAAAAAATTTATTAGATTTCAATGCAAAGGTAAGGAGAAAATGCATTATAAAATATAACATCAAGAAAATCAGTTTATGTAAAATTAGTAATGATAAGAGGGTTAAAGAGCCATAAACTTTGCAATATAAAAAAATCAAATTGCCAAGGAAACAACATCCCCCATCACATTTACAAATACACTTGGACTTTTCCTCAAGACAAACTGATCACAACCTGATAGACAATGACATTCGAGTAGAGTTTTTTATGGCTTCCTCAGCT